CCAAGATAAGTGCCCTCCTCCTTAAAAGAGCACTTTTCCTGAATATTGATTCTGTTTTGAGTTATTTGGCATTTTTGCGTTTCAGCATCGCCTAATATATGGAATTCTGAACATTGGTCAAAGTGAGGGTAAAATATGGAAAATGTATGATAGATATTTTGAAATCTGATTCTGTAAGGAGGAGAAGCAAGCAATATATAACATATATACCAAGTGTGAAGCTTCTATCTTTATTGGTTTTGTAGAAACACTGTTTATAAAACATAAAGAAATTTTGCTGAATCAGCGCCATTTTTTGCCGCCACAAGAACAAAAAAATAAAAAATGTCACAAAACCTCTTTTTAAAAGTGTATGTATCCATTGATGCATACAAAGTGGCTACAAAATGGTTGGAACTGAGTTTTGGCATTTTCATTAGCCACCTCCCCTTAAACTTTCCTTGTTCTCCAGGAGCATTCCTGCTCTGCCTACTTCGACTTTTTAGTAATTTCTTTTAGTATTACAATAGATGAGCATATTATTCATTATGGCTATTATTGAAACTTTTGATTGTGAGTTAAGGTACTAATTTATTTCTGTTTGTCTTCTACAGTTGCTGGTCGTGTGTTGTGACAATTTCTTCCCTGCCAAGTACATTCCCCTGCCACCAGAACGTATTGCTCACAAACCAAAGGATGTTCCTAAGGTAGCCTACATGACCAATTTATGTCCAGTGATTGTGATGTTAACTTTGTGTGGTCTGTGAAGAACTCTGTATACTCAAGATATACAAATTTTAATGTTTCCTGTTGATGTGATGTCCTCTTTTATAAGTTCCATTCAGAACTCTGCATGCTCAAGTCTTATGTTTGTTTAGAATTGTCAACGTCATGTTTATGCCATGACGTTACTTTTTTTCTACAGGATATGACGAAGTCCAAGAAGTTAATCTGTATTGTGGGTGGTTGGCGGTTCTCTGGTGTGGTTTTCTCTTTTCTTTCAATCAAACGTCTATCGTCCTCACCTCTCCTCATTTTTTGTGTTTGTTACTCTTTTGTAACACCTCCTATCTTCAGCACTTAAACGAGGGTCATTCGAAAAGTTTTGCCTCCAAGTTCATAATTTCTTCATTACTGATGCTGCATACAAAAGTTATACACCAAATGAAAGCTTAGGATGTCTGCTACATGATAGTAGGGCCTACCTTTGCTTTTCAATATAATCGCCTTCTTTGTTGATGCTGATCCGCCAACTTCGAATAAGTTGTCGTATGCCGTCAGCGAAAAATTCATGTGGTTTTCTTCTGAACCAGCGACTCACATCTTCTTGAACTTCATCTTCATCTGCCTAACGTTTTCCTTTGAGGTACTCCTTCAACTTACAAAAAAGATAAAAGTCAGATGGAGCAAGGTCTGGACTGTATGATGTGTGCAGTAAGGTCTCTTGAAATCGAGACTTTTCATGGCATCTTGAGTTTGTCGACTCGTGTTTGGACGGGCGTTGTCGTGGTGCAAAATTGCATTTTTTCCGGGACGAACTCGTGACAGCCGTGCTCTAAGTTTTCTCAGGGTCTCAATATACCATGCAGAGTTGATAGTGGGACCCTGTTTTAATATACGATTAAGACCATCGCAGTCCCAATACCCTGTCATAAGCACTTTCTTTGCAGATGAACCAACTTTGAACTTCTTGGGTTACAGAAATGCCAACCAGTACGATTTTACGTATTTTAGTACGATTTTTTGCCGAAAATACGCGAATACGACTTTTCATGAAAAAATACGCATCCTGGAATGCGAAAAATACATGATTCAGCTTGGGCGAGTAAACCTAATTATCTCAAGTCCCATCTTTTGTCAAAATAGTATCAGTATCGCAGAACTGGAATATTTGAAAACCTAGTCCGATGTGGTCAGTAAGTTCATATTTGCCGGTCGCAATCGGGATATATTCGTTCTGCTTTTCCCCGTCCGGAGAGTACGTTTCACTTTCACGCAAATAGGCAGCTATGGCGGCTGGTGGAAGCGTATGTGACACCGAGGCTCGATCGGGAAAATCAAGGTCTGCTTTCGCTACCACCGAGAAGTTTGCCAGCAGTTGTCTGAACGCAACATTTGTGGCATGCAGGTCGTGCAGTATGAACGCAATGTTGCCGTGCAAATATAATGTAATAAATACTCGGACTCATCGCTTTGGCTTTCACTTGAAAAAAAAAGAAAAGAAGAGAAAATACAAGCGTCGTCCAATTTTTAGATTGTCTGGCTCGCCATCGTGACCGGTCACTGAGCCTGTGCGCATTCGCATCTTAAATAAATGCGGCATCATGTGAGTAAACACTGTCTTTGGTGGGAGTAACGGCGTTGCGAAGTATAGGACTACGGAATAGGGGGGGGGGGGAGGGGTTAAGATACTATCGGGGGCTACACCAGAGGACAAAAACTTGGAAGCACATTTCAGAATTTTAATTAGAGCTTTCTGCAAAGCGCGCGTTGGTGCAGGCCGTGTGCGGAATCGGGACCCCTCATACTCATACTTTAGGTGCTTTTTCGGTAGTTCCCACCCCCCTTATTTGAGCCTGACCTACATGTAGATTCTCTATACGTTTGATTCGCGGCAAGCTAAGATATCAAACCTAACAACTGCAAAACATTAAATTGTGGTAAAATTCAGGGGGGCATGCCCCCCTGAAACCCCCCACCATATTTTTATTAGGTCAGGGGCAAGCCCCCCCTGAAACCCCCCTACTCTTGGGGCCAAAACCGGCGATTACCAATTGCGGGGTGGGAACTACCGAAAAAGCGCCATACTTTGCAAGTCTGTGTTATTGAAATAAAGTGTTCGCGTTTCATTGGATGGGTGAAAGTAATTATACCTACTTGGATGAGTGATAGATCTAGTAAAATATACCTACAGTGTATGTTGTAGCTTTCTGTTCAAGACTGGCTGATTTTCAGTGTCACTGCATCTTGCCCTACCACAGTTGTTACAACTCTCACATGCATGGGTCTACTTGAGCCATTCAAGTTATTGCTTTTCTCTAAGTTTGAGCAATAATTTGAGTCTGTCAGTTCATAATATGAATCATGACACCCAGACTGGTTCTTGATACAGTAGTCGAAATTCTTGTTCTAGGCCCTTACGAACTCTCAAAGCAGGATTTAATTTTTATATATATATTATAATTCGTCGCCTGTCACACGAAAGGGCGTATTCCAGATTTTGGCAATTTTGAGTTGTTACTACTAGTAGATAGCGCTGCCTCAGATCTATGTTCACACGAAACGGCGTATACCTAGCTTTAAAATAACAGTACTAGCAGTAAAAAAACGAAAAGGGCGTACGCTAACACTCAACGCGACCGAATCAGACGAAACGGC